ATGTTAGCTGTGTATTTGTAACTATTTTTTTTCATTTTTAATTATCAGAGTGGCTAAGTAAATAAATAAAATTCATTGAAAGATAAACTGAACACTGGGAAGGATATGGAATGGAGTGCCCCAGCAAAGGTTTTTGGAAACTAGAAGAAGCATCTTTGTCAGCACTGAAGCACAGAAACTATAAACTAATATGAAAATTGTGCTTCGGTGCAGAGAAAGGGCACACATGGTCACCTCCCTTCCCCACTATATGATCATCTTAAGCTGAAAATAGCTGTAGCAAATTGAGGCTACTTGTGATTGCAAAGGCAGATGAATAAAACTTCTATATCTTTTCTTTCTTGAACTAGAATGGAAAAGCCATTTCCATCTAAATGTATTCTCTGAAGTTCTGTGATACAGCAACATCCTTTGCATGATTTAACAATCATATTAATGGGGTTCTACTCCCCAGTCAGGTTGTGTTGAAGTAGCCTGCATATATCTTTCACTAGACATCTCTGGGATATTTGTGCAACTTCTTTCCATTGTCTTCTATGGGATGGGTGGATTTCATTTAGCTCGCTGTGTAGGATTTGTTTTCTCCCTCTTGAAAGGCTTCCTCATACTTTTCCAGTAGGGTTGTTCTGCATAGCTGTTGTTGGAAGAAAGGTCTTCATCGTGGTTCATCCAAGCTGGGAATAAACATGGCAACTGCTTTGGGAAGAAGGTTGTAGTTTATTGGAGAGGAGAGCCAGACAGGAAGATGGTTCTGGCAGCAAGAGAAGTGAAAAAAAGGACTGAGCACATGTAGGAAGTGGGTTTTTATACCCTCTGGAGCCTTTTGTTTGGAGTTATTTCCTGTTCCTGTTTTGAGGCTATTTCCTGTGTCATGTATTCTGACCTGAGTTTGGGTGTGCCATTTGGCCTTTGTGAATTAATCCTACCATGTCCTGTCTCAGGTGGGGTATGCAGATTTTAGGTCTTTGTCTTCCTAATCTCCTAGCTCCAACTTTCCTGATGGTTTACATCTGCATTTGTACAGAGCTGGTTTCTGCTTGGGGGAGGCAGACTTGGGGCTATTAAGAAAAACTGGGCATGCTTTTCTGTCTTTTTAAGATCCTTTGAGAAAATATATTTTTCTGCCCTTTTAATATTTCCTTCTCTGGGGGGCTGACTTCCCACAATGTTTTAAGCGGTTTGTTTGCCTCACTGGCACCAGATCGAAATGGAGACAGTTCGTGAATTGTGGTCTAGATTTCAATCGATTCCTCAACACTGACCAATCTTTTCACGCTGATGGTGGTTACCATGGTCCCCATTGGTGAATTCATCTGCTTCTTTGTCCTTCCCACCTATGCTAGGAAAACAAGCACCAATGGCTTTCCTTTCCATGAGTGGGTCTTTGAGATGGTGGTTTTCACTGATAGATTTTTAAATGACTCCTCCCCTCCATTAACTCCCCTTTGTGTTGGACCAGGGGTGTCAAACTGCCGGCCCGCGGGCCGGTTTCATCATACCAGAGCCGCGCCCACCCCATTGCCGGCAATGGCGAAAAAGCTCCGATACGTCACGCGACGTCATGTGACATTGCGAGTTTGACATGTCTGTGTTGGACACTTTCAGTTTGGAACTTCCACTTGTAGACAGTTAAAAAAGAAAGAAAATATTAACTTCCTGTCACTTGGCATAGAAGGAGAAATTGGATGAACGCTTGTCTATTTCAGATAAATGAAAGGAAAGGGGTGGGGACCACTTTTCCACCAATCCAAAGATAAACCTGTAAAAAAAATGACAGAGTTTCACCAATCCATTGTGGGAAAGAATCCTTTTAATGCTGCTTGTGCCTGCAAAAGTATTTTTGATATAGAACAGAGAAAGAATGTCTTCTTCAAGGACAGGAATTAGTTGAGGACAGTGTTGTGTGTTATTGTCTTCTAGAAACAATTACTTGACTATTCTCAACCCTGAACAAGAAGTATCTGTGGATGAGCCCTCAGAAGTATATGAAACTGTCTTGTCTTAACTCAAATTATAATTAAGAATGACACTAATAATACTTTGTTAATATTCATCTTTTTTATTCACCCAGATTGAGAAAGGTGTAAAGTGTCAATCAGATGCAAAGAAAGAAAGAACAAAATGTAACATAAAAACAACAGTAAAAATAAAAATGATGATAAAAATAAACTGCCCAAAGATTATTAATTATACAAATTTGCCTGTTTGAAAAATTGTGCCTAAATATTTTGGTGAGGGGAATTAATCCTATGATTCTCCATGTTAAAAGGAGACTTTCCAAGTTACCAGTACCTGTGGGAAAGACTAGGAAACCTATTTTGCAAAGTCATCAGAAACAGAATTGTTAATTGGTAAACCTGACGTATCTGTAACCACCATATTGATTGCAGCTGCCACTATAATAAATGTAACTGGATGTTTAGAGGAATTTATTTAAATAACCCACATAAATACATTCACTGAAGCAATAACACCAGCTAGCTTAAACTAGTTATGTTTGATGGATGGATGGGTATCTTAGATGGCTGAAAAATATTTAGAAATAACAAGGGGGATAAAGTTATTAACATAAACGTAGCACACTTCTTTACATATGTCAGAGATTTAAGAATAGCAGCTCAAAACCTATATCCTAGACATATGTGAAAAAACTGTGGGATGTTGAAGTTTAAAAAGTACTCAGGTAACTTCAGTGTATCTGAAAGGGAATGTGATGATTTGCAGCAAAGAAATCATTTGCTGCAAAGCAACTTTAATTCATTTAAATATTTAAATTTATCATATAATTATCCTGGGTGCCCTGGCTATTTATGAAGTAATTGTGAGATAAGGCTGTTTCTGTTGTGGCTCCGTCTTGTGAGCCCCTCTTATCGGAGGAAGACGGCTCCGAACATGAAGGAGAGGAGATGGCCAGGCCTCCCTCTCCAGGACCCTCCTCTTTGGCAAGGCCTCAGGTGTCTCCCGACGGAGAAGAGATTGACCAGGAGCCAGGTGGTTCTGAGACTGGCCAGGAGCCAGGTGTTTCTGAGATTGGCCAGGAGCCAGGTGTTTCAGATAGTGAGGAAGAGAAGTTGTGGCTGGATCCACACCAGCGTAGGAGCGACAAGTGTGCGCAGCAGAAAAGGAGACGTGCCAGAGATTAAGCTGAGTCACTGGACCACACCCCACAGGCTATAAAAGGGAGGTGGTGGCCATTTGGACCTCTGTGACGGACAAAAGCTGAATCTCTGGCGAAGTAGTTTGCTGTGGCTTTAAACTGTGTATTGTTTTTTGTTTCTGTGTGCTTGGAGTAAAAGGTCTTGGCAGGCAGCTACGGAGCTGCTGCCAAGTTTCTTATCGGTGAAGTGGTGTCTGGAGAAGTCTTTAACCCTCGGCTGGCTGTTTGGGTGTGTGGGTCGGATGGGGACAGAACAGTTTCGAATGTCTGTGCAATACAGCCACTGGAGGAGTACATACTCTGTTGTTTCTGTTTGTCTAAAATCACAAGGGCATTGTCTCTCAGTTGAGGGAAGGGCACGAGAGTGTGCCAGCGTAAAGCTCTGCTAATGGTTAGGTACTTCGAGATTAGTTAAGTTTGCCATAGGGTATCTCTGAGAGTACCTGTTTGATTCTCTGGCAATAAAGTTTGGGAATCTGGCTAGATCCAGTTGGCACTCTGTGTCTGCTACACACTTTTTAACGAGTGCTTTGACCTGCTGAGTAGAAGACCTGGGAAAGAAGTCCAAGGATAAGGTTTTAATTGCCACTGCCTTCTTGTATGTAGACTGAGGAGATGTCAGGAGATGTCAGGAGGGGGGGAAAGGAATAGCTTGAGCCAGTAGTTGAGTAGTTGACTATGATCATCCACACTCTAACTTCCACTTTCATGAGGCTTGTCACCAGTCTCAGGGTATCACTAGCGATACATTTTGAGGATTGAAGGGCCAATCTCAGAAATTTGGATTGAACAAGTTCTAATTGTGCAAAATTGGGGAAGAGGCCCAGCTGAACACCATAAGGAAGTTGTACTATTGGCTTGTCTTCAAATAATTTGAATGCTGCAGATTTATAGTGCCCACATCTTGTCTTGAGGAATTTAAAGATGACAGATGAGTTCTCCTCTTTGCATTTTCAGCAGTATAGTCCCCATTGAGTTTCCTACTGCTGGCAGAATGAAGGACTATTCTCATAGATTTGAAACAGGAGCCCTGCTCACTCATGTGTCCGTTTATACTATAGGAGTGGCTCTTGGGCCTTTTAGCAAATGCCATGATTTTAGTTTTCTGATAATTGACTTCTAGCTGGTCTTCCTTGCGGTGTACTGTTAGTTCTCTCAATGCTCTTTTAAAGCCAGTAGATGTTCTTGAAAGTGTTGCTCCAACCTCTGCATTGAGTAGAATAGAGATGTGACTTCCAACAAGTGTTGGAAAGTGAACATTGATGGCCCACCATGTTGATACAGAATTTGAATGAGAGTGGCACCAATATGCAGGTGAAGTAGGTTGATGTATTTAAAAATATACAACTACTATCCCAATCACTTTAGCTTGGCTCGTTGTATGAGAGCTCAAATTAAGGTAGTGGTGAAGCTTAGATGAGAAAGACCCAGGTTTTTTCTGACACAGCCCTCAAGCTATTTAGGGTTACACACGTTCAGGGATAAACTGAAGCGGGATTCCAACATAATTCACTGAGTTCTCGAGAGAAAAAGCAAGGTATTAATGCAAAACATATAATTGCCTAACTTCACCAGTGCAATCTTAATTTTAAGTATGGTGTGTTTCATTTTTAGTCTTTCTTTGGAGTGTCCAGATACATCTTCAGCACAATTTAGAATAAATGAATTTCTGAATTTAACTTAAATGAATTTAAGTTCCTAGAATTTCCTGGTTGGATAAAGTGCCTATTCTGGAAGTTCTTATTCTATCACACAGCACATTGGAAAGACTGGCATAGTTTAATGTCATTTTAAAAAAAACACAAATGCCACATTGAACAATGTCTATTTTTCTCCTTTTTAGGTAGTCTACCATATGAATACAAGATTGTGATAGCAGGTAATCATGAGCTGACATTCGATCAAGAGTTCATGGCAGACTTAATCAAGCAGGACTTTTATTATTTTCCCTCAGTATCTAAACTGAAGCCAGAAAGTTACGAAAATGTGCAATCTCTCTTAACGAACTGCATATATCTGCAAGATTCAGAGGTAACAGTGAGAGGCTTCAGGATATATGGCTCTCCATGGTAAGCATTTAAAAGCTTGATTGTGTTGATGAATGAAGAAATTTCCTGTTTGTATTTCAATGGTTGTACAACAGCAATGGCATTAGCCACACTGTAGAATGTTGATTACCAATATTGATTGGTAAAGTAATGGATTCAAGCACTTTTAATTAACTAAAAAGATGCCCCTGATTAATCAAGCAAAATAAAGGCACATATAGACACTGTTAATTACAGATGGCAGGTCCATTTTTCCAAAATTGCTTTTCCTTCTTTCACAAACACAGATGTGCCTCTTTTGAAGTGATAATGCCCTGTTATGTAATTCAGGGGTCCCCAACCCCCGGTCCATGGACCTGCACCAGTCCACAGCATGCCAGCAAGCAGGCCACACAAACAAGCAAAGCTCCATCCTCGGGATGCAGGCAGTATTCAAAACCAAACCCCCTCTTGTCCGCGGAAAAACCTTTCTCCGTGGCACCGGTCCCTGGTGCCCAAAAGGTTGGGGACCTCTGATGTAATTTGTATTTCATCTCAAAGTATGCTTCCATCTGCAGAGAAATTATTCTTCCCCAGACATAAAGGCTAATAAGTTAAAATCAGTTAAAATCATTAACTAATAAATTAAAGTAGTGTTTAATTGATTGCCATTTCATTAGTTCATTGAAAGAAAGAGAAGTTAACTAATATTCACAGATAGAATGTAATGCCAACTTCATCAACCCAGATTTACACCATAGCCAATTCCAGGTAGAAACTCTAGAGTTGTTGATTTAGACCAAAGTTAACATATAATCTGTTAGCAGTACTGGAAATGCTGCAATGAGTAATGAGAGGGGCCAATGATCCAATACTACATACAATATTTCCTTGAATCAGATTGCACTTCTCAGTTTTAAAAATGTTTGATTCCAAAAGCGTATGTGGAATTCAATTCATATGAAGTCAATGGCACATTAAGCCATATTACAGTAAACCAAATGAGATTTATTATGGCATAAGCATGGGATGTTATTAATAATGCCCCTAGGCAAAAGTAGATGAGATATTTGCTATGTGTGAAATTCATCTTCCATTATAATATTACAGTGTCTTCTTTGGCTAAATGCTAATGGAAGGGAGAGGGGTTAAACTTTCTGCCTGCAAAGATTCCTTGGTGCAGATCCATTCCTAGAGCAGTTATTAGCCATTGGAGGCAAAGGCTTGATAAAGCTGTTATATTCTTCCATCACTATAACTGAAGGAATTTGTGCCAGAGATTTACATCCTCTCCCAGTATCCTCAAGAGCTGTTCTAAATTGATTTCTTTGTAGGCGTCATTTGCCTCCTTTGCAAATTCTGTATGGCCACATCAAATGTTATCCTTGGCTAGCTCTGTACATCCATCCATGCACTGCTGATTTGTTTCAGAAAGACCCAGTGAAAGAGTTGTCAGAATCTGCACAGGCTGATAACCAGGACCACATTCTAAACTTAATTAAGTTACTTAATATTGTATGCTGCCCAGAGTTATTGTGTGGTAAGATGAGCAGCTAATAAATTTTACAAATAAATAAATAAAAAAACAGTTGTCCAACTCTTGAAAAAGGATATGGCTGCTTTAATAATTTGAAAAGAGCTGCTTCTTCATGCTAATACATTCTGAAAGGCCTCTTTCAAATGCTGAGAGTGGTCCTAAAAGACATCTGTCCAAAATGTCCAATAATTCAGAAGAGGTGTAGAGTTAATAATAATAATAAAAAAGTTGGAAGGGACCTTGGAGGTCATCGAGTCCAACCCCCTGCCCAGGCAGGAACCCTACACCATTTCAGACAAACGGCTGTCCAGTCTCTTCTTAAAAACTTCCAGTGTTGGAGCATTCACCACTTCTGGAGGCAGGTTGTTCCATTGGGTAATTGTTCTAATATTCAGGAAGTTTCTCCTTAGTTCTAAGTTGCTTCTCTCCTTGATCAGTTTCCACCCATTGCTTCTCGTCCTGCCTTCAGGCGCCTTGGAGAATAGCTTGACTCCCTCTTCTTTGTGGCAGCCCCTGAGATATTGGAACACTGCTATCATGTCCCCCCTCATCCTTCTCTTCGTTAAACTAGACATACCCAATTCTAGCAAGTTGAACCACAAACTCATGAAATGCAGCAAGCCAGATCTGGGATCTGTTGGGGATCGGTTGAAATTTACCCTCAGCTGTCCTGTGCTGTCTTCTGGATCTTTTTAAGAAGCTATCTGTTGCATGATAGATATTTCTCAGATATTATTTCATATCAGTAATGTCACTCATTTCTTTTCTGCGCTGAGTACCCTGAAATTATCTAGCTTGCTTCTTTAAAAAAAATTCTGCAGTTGTTTTTTCTAGGCTGAGTGGAATAACATTTCCTTTTTTAAAATTAGCATCTGCTGAAAGAAATCTCTCATTGATCCCTTTTGTTCAGAAGGGGAGTTTTGTACTAAGCCCAACTCCCCAATTTAAAATAATATTTAATACCTGTAAAGCAGCAGGTTCTACTTTAGAAAGATCTGTGGTGTAAAATGTATGTTCCTCTTTAAAAAAAAAAATTCATGAAACAAATGGAAAAATTCAGGCAATATAGCCCACACAGTGCCAAAAAGAAGAAAGCACAGATTGTTCTACTGAATGAAGAATTTTGATCCTTTTTTAGGTGACCAACTTCCATTTAAAAACAATCCAATTTATAATATTATATGGCTGAAAGTTGATATGAAAGCCTTTTTGAAGTAGCTGGTAAAATCCCAGGAGCTGGAATTGTGATTAAATAAAATTTCGTGTGATCATGAGATGGGGATGAAATACACTATCTATCGTTCTTTCTCCTGACAAAATTATTCAGCTTTGTTATAATGAAAATCTCAGACTAACAGCTCTACCTCCCCAACTTTGATTTTTTTTTTTTAGTGCAGTGTCTGTATAGTGCTAAATCTGAATAACCAAAGATTATATCAGAAACCGTGTGCAAAAGTTTTCAGGAATGCCTTAATTCCATTGACCTTGGATCAAACCACCACATCAAAGCAGATTCATGGATCAAAATGGTGTGAAGCAGTCAATTGAATCAGAGGCTTCCAACAAGTTTTCCAGCCCCTCAAAGCCTTTCCTAGATCTGTTCCACTGTTTCCATGCTTGTTATAGACCAGGGGGTCTTCAAACTTGGCAACTTTAAGACTTGTGGACTTCAACTCCCAGAATTCCTCAGCCAGCCAAGTTTGAAGACTCCTGTTATAGACAATACTACATGCTACACTTCAGCTTCACTTCCATTTATGGAGAGGGTGATGTGAATATGTGTGTTATGAGGAATAAATAAACAGAATGTAAACTTAAGACAGTTCTACACTAGCTTTGTAAATAAATTGGAAGTCAGAACAGATTAGGAAGCAGAAAGAAATCAAAGTCACCCCAGAGTGTCTGAAAGTCTAAATGGTGACCACAATGGCAACAATCAGAGCTCTCCTGTGTTGCACATTTAAAAATGAGCTTCAATAGCACCATTGTAGACACCAATTTGACTTTTTTAAAAATCACATCCTGTGGACATCTATGGTCAGACCTCATGCACACATCTCAGTATGTATTTTTAAGTGAGTAAACCATGAAATGCAATAGAAATTTTCAAGATTGAAAATTGGCATTCACTATCCTACTGTTGGTGTTAAACTGCCCCACCTGCTCATCACCATGCATCTTATAAATTTAAAACCTTGTAGGCTTTAAATGTATCCTTTTATTTCAATTAGCCAGATTGTTTTGTGTTTTCTCTGTATATACCTGCTGGGTGGCAATTCCACATTTCAAGCTGGTTGTGTATCTGTCTCTGTACACTGATTGGTAAGATTGGCTTCCCAATTGTGAGGAGAATGTGTATCATCACCATATATAATTTTACCTACTTAATGCTTAGTATTAATTTTGTGGAACAGATTTACATTATTATTTGTGGGCATTCTGGTATGTTCCTTGCTGTCTCCATAGTTTGTAATAATGGGCACGGAAATACAAATGCAGCAAGAAGTAGAGAAAAGCACTATCAAATATAGAACTGTAAGTTACTTTAAAGAATATATTCTGCATTACTAAAAGAATAAAAAATGTTACACAACTTCAGTTTCTTCAAATACAGTAATGATGGCAGATATGATGAGGAGGCACTTCTTTCTCAAGTGACATCTGACCTGCTATCAATAAAACAATGGTTCCACTTCATTTGACAAGTTCTGCTCAAGACTTTAGAGAAGAGTAGATTTACAACAGTATAAGGTTATGGCCATTGTGTGTGTGCAAGGAATCTGGGCTGATATATCAGAAGTTCAAGGAAAAGGGGTTGGCAAATATGACTGAGGACCAGGCTGTTGTTTGGGATGTCAAAAGGAGCGTATTGCCATCTTTCAGAATTTGATACCACTTGGGGAGGCTAAATTATGTTAAGAATATAATATTTTAATTATTCCCTGGATAATGTATAAGGGACTTCACTCTAGATTTCCAGATAAATAATTGCAGTTATTCATGTACCCGAACAAAAGAAATTCTAGAATGTTCAAGAATTCTAGATGCTGTAGAGCAGGGATAGTCAACCTTGGCTCTTTTATGACTCGTGGACTTCAACTCCCAGAATTCCTGAGCCAGCTCAGGAATTCTGGGAGTTGAAGTCCACGAGTCATAAAAGAGCCAAGGTTGACTACCCCTGCTCTACAGTCTAGATCATCTCAGAACCACTGGATGTAATCTGGAGAAGTCTCAAGCCTGGAGACCTTCAAGAATGGAGAAGAGTTAATGTTTTTCCATTTTCAAAGAAGGAGTGAACTTATACAACTACAATGTGGTCAACTTGACATCAGTATCTGAAGAAATTCTAGAAAAAGGTGATCAAGTCGTGGGTTTGCAAATGCATAAAAAGGAACAAGATGATTGTTAGAAGTCAGCTAAGTGTTTTTTAAAGCCAGATCATGCTGGGCAAATTGCATTGCCTCTTTTTTTTTTTAACCAAGTGAGTAGATTAGTAGGCCAAGAGAAATGCTAAAAATGTAGTTATATTCCAGTAAGCCATTTGAAAAATTGGCCCTAATTGTCTTCTTGATAAAGTAGAAAAATATAGGATAGTCTACTACCAGATGGGTTTGCACCTGATTGAACAGTAATACCCATTGCACGGTCCTTATCAGTTTTTTGTCAACATGGAGAGAAACATGTAGTAGGTTCTGATTCAAGTTCCGACTAGTGTTTTTGAAATTTTAATAAATGACTTACATGAGACGATAGACGAGATACTTATTAAGATTGCAAAAATGAGGTATGTTTGGATCTTAGAAGATTCAGAGGGTTTATGATAGACTGCAACACCAGTTTCTTTCCAACGAAATGCAGTTCAGTGGTGAGAAATTTAAGATTCTGCATTTATGTAGAGAAAACCAGATGTACAATATAGATAGATTTTGGTCAGCAGTAGTACTTGTGAGAAAGAACTGGGAGTCCTGGGATGGATCGCAAATTAAGCAGGAGACAGCAATGTGATGCAGCTGCCAAAACAGTCAGTGCAAATGTGTTCTGCATCAACAGAAATATGATGTCAAGATCATGAGAAGTGATAATTCCATTCTGGGCCACACCAGGAGTAGTATGTCCATCACCATATTCAAAAAGGATACTGAAGAACTTAAAATAGTGAGGAGAAGACCAATGAAAGTGGTGAGGGTCTTGAAGAACAGTTAAAGCCTAAAGGATTTAGCACAAAGAAGAGAAGGTTGAAAAGAGACCGTGGTAGCAATCTTCCAATTTGTGAACTATCCCTGTATTTTACATGTCATATATATTCCAGCGAGAAAGTTTAGTTCCAGCACATAGCCCTTGATAGGGTAAAGATACTGAAAAAGTGAGGATCAGAACACAAAAACAGTCTTTGTAACCGCTTAGACTCAAGCCACAGATATAAGAAATCTTGTGGGTTTTTTCTTCTGTGCTATGGACAGTTTTCACAGTAGCAGAGAGAATGGCGTCTAGCCTTGCTTATTCTAGTCTTTACATGCAACCCTTTGGGACCAAGGTTGTTCTGGCCATTAAACCTTGGGTGTGGTGGTGTGGCAAGATGCAAGCAGCTGCCAAAAAAGCCAATGCAGTCCCAGGCTGCATCAACAGAAGGGTAGAATCAAGATGACGAGAAGTGATAGTACCACTCTATACTGCTCTGGTGAGGCCACCCTTGGAATACTGTGTCCAGTTCTGGGCAGCATGATGACCAGATGCTGAGGTTCTAGAAAGAGTGCAGAGAAAAGCAACAAAGATGATAAGGGATCTAGAGGCTAAACCATATGATGAACGTTTAAGGGAACTAGATATGTCTAGCCCAGGGGTAGGCAACCTTGGCTCTTTTATGACTCGTGGACTTCAACTCCCAGAATTCCTGAGCCAGCATGGCTGGCTCAGGAATTCTGGGAGTTGAAGTCCACGAGTCATAAAAGAGCCAAGGTTGCCTACCTCTGGTCTAGCCTAACAAAGAGAAGGATTAGGGATGACATGATAGCTGTTTTCTGGTACTTGAGAGGCTGTGATAGAGAAGAGAGGGTTGACTTATTCTCCAAAGCACCTGAGAGCAGGACAAGAAGCAATGTGTGGCAGCTTGTTAAAGAGAGATCCAATATGGAACCAAGGAAAAATTTCCTGACAGTAAGAACAATTAACCAGTGGAACAGCTTGCCTCCCAGAGTTATATGTTCTCCATTGCTGGAGGTTTTTAAGAAAAGTTTGGACATCCTTTTATCCCGGATGGTATAAGACAGTGATGGCGAACCTTTTAGAGACCAAGTGCCTAAAAACTGGCCCCGGCCCCGCTCCACCCCCTGCCCCCCCCCTGCTCTGCCCCCACCATCCCCTGCCCCGTTTGACCACAGGACCACTCACTGCCTCCAGGGCCCGCCGCAGATCGCCCAGGCAGCCCAGCAGCACTATGGCGGCCACACCCTCTGCCCGTGCCCTGCAGCATCAACTGGCTAATGGGGCATGAGGGCAGAGTCTTGTCTACGCTGCCTGGCTGCCATGTCCTTGGCTGCGCTGCTCCGTGTGGGCCACTGTGGTTTTGTGTATTTTATTTATCTTCCAACTGTCAGAGTCCAGTTAGATAACTAAGAATAGCATTAAACAATTTATGATAAAGTTTGGGATGGAGGTAGAGGATTTAATTCCCTCTCGTTTTCCCTGGCACTTACTCATTTTTTCCCAGCTGGTTCCATAAATGCAGTGACACAACTGGGATAAAGATCTTGGTTATTTCACATGCTAACATAATTGGTGAGCCTAAGGATCATACTTAGCAGTACGACCTCAGGATTTAGAAATGTATTTGTTTAGTTTGTCTGTTATTAAATTTCTATGCCACCCATCTTGCCATTGAAACGGTTCCCTGTGTCATGGTTTTAAACAACTAACTAATGTTTGAACCACATATAATAAAAACATTCCTTCAACTTTTATAGTCAGCCAAGGTAGAATTATATGGATCAGTTCAGAGTTGGTCCATTTCAGTTTTGCATGCAAGTAATTATGTCCATTCCATCAAATATATCAATGAAGATTCTCAGTCATCCAGATAGAGTTGTCTGGAAGTTGAGTCATGGCATCTGGACTCCTTTTCTTGTTTTTGTTTGAAACATTTCACTGCTTATCCAAGTAGCTTTTCAACTGCTTGGGGGGGGGGGGTCAATATATGTCCTCCAGGGTGGTTTCATTTTTCACCTGATCTGAATAAGGTGAGTAGACAGAGTCCTTGCTCTTAAATCCTTCTCTTAATGTGGGTCATTAAGAGTAACCTCTCTCTTAATGTGGGTCATTAAGAGTAACCTCTCTGGTGAACCTGGGAAATGATCTTTCCATTGTGGGAAGTCAACCCCCCCAGAGAAGGAAATATTAAAAGGGCAGAAAAATATATTTTCTAAAAAGATATTAAAGAGACAAAAGCATGCCCAGTTTTTCTTAATAGCCCCAAGTCTGCCTCCCCCAAGCAGAGGCCAGCTCTGTACAAATGCAGATGTAAACCATCAGACAGGCCCCACCTAGGAGATCAAGAAGACAAAGACACCTAAAATCTGCATACCTCACCCAAACTCTAGGAGTCATTAGCCCCAGCATCAGGGAAGCAGGATATGACCTTTGGTCATAATAGGATTAACCTACCACCATCAAGAATACCAGAAAGGCACACCCAGACTCAGGTCAGAATACATGACACAGGAAATACAAAGCTTAAAACAGGAACAGGAAACTACTCCAAACAAAAGTCTTCAGAGGGTATAAAAACCTACTCCCCACATGTGCTCAGCCCTTTTTTCTCTCTCCCTTTTTCTGCCAGAGCCATCTTTCTGTCTGGCTCTTCAATAAACTGCAACCTTCTTTCTAAAGCAGTCGCCATGTTTTTATCCCCGACTTGGATGAACCAGGATGAAGACTTTTCTTTCAACACCGTGTCCACTTCCAAGGTTTACCAAGGAGATCACACTTAATGACCCACCTAAGAGAAGGATTTAAGAGGAAGACTACAAGTCTATTCAGATTGAGTGAGAAATGAAACCACCCTGGAGGACATATATGGGGTTCCCCCTAACCACTTTGCTCAGATTAAAGAAACCTTTCCTACAGGGAAAGATTTCAAACCAAAAAAAGAAGTCCAGTTCCCATCACTCAACTTCCATCAAATAGCTGCCTCATTCTGCAGCTTAAAAAGCAGAGGGGGGGGGGGAAACCCACACAAATTGTCAAATATGCTTCACCAAAACATGCATTTTGTATTAATGGTTTCTAGGTAATATGCATTTTCACATGCGTATTTCCTTAATAAATAAATTATTCTATGCAGTGTTCCCACTGTAATAATTTTGAATATCATTTTTGAGCTGAATACTGCAGGGAAAAAGAATCTGGAAAAAATGCAGAATTTGGGAATAACTGGGATCTAATTTACATAGAAGTCCAGGAAATGTGAATTAGGCTAGTTTGCTTTAAAATGCTTCAGACCAAGTCTTACTTGCTAGTCCACTGTGTTTCTTCTTTTCCCTTTCCTTCCAAATGTTTCTTTCATTATCTATTAAGATTACCTCCACAAAAATATAAACATAACATCAAGATTGATAGGTTCATTTCGGAATAAGGCCTTGATTTCATTTTTTGTCATTAATTAATTGTCTCTTGTTTATTTTCTCAACATTGCACAGATTTTTGACTGTTACTGAAATGTGCATCAATTAAAGTCAAATATTTATTTCATCACATGTGACATGTTAAATATTTGTGGTTGTTCCCACAGTAGAAAGTTCCAAAGAACAAATCTTTCTTGAAATGTATTTTGATTATTAATGCTAAATATTGATCTGAATACTACATTGATGGGCTTCAAAATTACTAGGAAGCAATATAATTTGTTTCATTTTAACCATGTCAATAGAAGACATCACATTCTGCAAAAAATAGAAAAGTTCACATTCTGTAATACAGGGGTCCCCAACCCCCGTGCCATGGACCGGTACCGGGCCGCAACATGCAGCAACCGGTCCGCACAAACAAGCAAAGCCCCATCCATGGGATGCAGGCATCACACAAAACCATGCACTCTACGGTCCGCAGAAAAACCTTTCTCCATGGAACTGGTCCCTGATGCCCAAAAGGTTGGGGGTCTCTGCTGTAATATATTGTTTCCTTCATCCTTTCTGCAGATTGGAAGGTTTTGTGGCATCTGAGAAATCTATTTGGTCAGCAAGAATGAATGGCTGAAACAGGAGAGTTTTCAAATTCAATCAACTGCAGAGCTAGCATCAATGACTTTTTTTTAAAAAAAATGTTACATTACCTCCTAATAGAGGAGAGAGCCAGTTGATCTAATGGTTAAAGCACCAGGTTAGAAAGCAGAAGACCATGAGTTCTAGTCCTGCCTTAGCCATGAAACCAGTTGGGTGACTTTGGGCCAGTCATTTTCTCTCAACCCAACCGACCTCATAGTGTTGTTGTGGGTAACATAAGAGGAGGAAGGTATGTTGAATATCAATGAGTTATTTGTAAAAAATAATAAAAGGTGGGATAAAAATAAAAAATATGTATATAGATAATCAGATTTTGCTATATATTTATATCAGTGAAGACTGATAAAGCTATGAGAGTGAGATTGAGAGAGCAGAGCTTCGGAGAAGGAACTCTGAATGTCAGTTCAATGGGAATGAAAATAGAGGTGTATTTAGAGGTGTATGTACATGGTTATAAAGTCCCTCGTTGCTCTTTTTTTGAAGAAGGAAAGCCCCCACTGCCATGTCACTGGCATTGGCTTGAATGAAAAATGGGGCATTTGGGTCTAGGTGCTTGAGCACAAGCGCTTAAGTATCTCGACAGCCGCTTGGCATCCCATTGACCACTTGAGAGATTGGTTTGGTTTGGGTTTTCCCTCTCCTTTGGTCTTTAAGAGGATAGTGATGGGGGATGCTATTTGAGCGAAGGATGGGATGAATTGATGGTAGAAGTTGGCAAACCCGAGGAAGCTCTGGAGCTGCTTCCGGGTACCGGGAGAGGGGTTTTCCCCACTCCAGTACTGCTTGTATTTCTTTGGGATCCATCTCCACCCCTTCGTGCAAAATGCAGTACCCCAAATAATCTTGTCTTTGTAGAATTCGCGCTTGGAGAGTTTTGCATTTAGCTGGGTGACACAGAGCTTCTTCAGCACCTCCCTGACCAATTTCACACGTTCTTCCTTGGTTTCAGTGTAAATTAAAATGCCATCCAAGATCTCCTTATATAAGTTCTCATGTAGGACTTTGTTAATTAGTTGCATGAAGACTGCAGGTGCCCCCGTAGCCCAAAAGGCACCACTCAAAATTGGAAACACCCCAAGGGGCAGTTAGAGGCTGTCTTCCACTCTTTGGTGTGTATTCGGTAGTAGGCTTCCCTCAGGTCTAATTTGGTGAAGATTTGCCCTTTGGCTAGGTGGGCTGGCATGTCTTTCATCAGTGTTAAAGGGTATATAACCCATTTAGCCCACAGTAATCTACACATAAGAGGAGGGACCCATCTTTCTTTTCCTGAGCATGGGTGCCACCATGTACGATTTTGGGGGTTGGATGAAACCTTGAGCTAGTGTTTTATCTATAAAGGACCAGAAGTTATTTCAGTTCACTTGGGGTCATAGTGTATAGTTTTGGCTTGGGTAGTTCAGAAGTCCATGGGGTGATGTAGGGGGATTATGTCCGAATCCCATTCACTGAATACTTCCTGTAAATCCCAGTATTTATTGGGGATCAGAGAGACCACCTTTTCTGGCTCGTGCGCCGCTGTGGCACTTTCTCCTTTCACTTTCTTAATGGGCACTCTGAGGCCGGTTTTTCTGCTACCCCTTCCTCAGTCCATTTTTGTTGGACCTTCAGTGTCTGTCTCCTCTAATTTTCAAAGGGGTTCCATTTTAATAGCTAGGCTAAGCCTAGTACCATTGGTTTGTCCATGCCTGGTGCTATAATAAAACTGATGGTGTCTTCATGGGATCCCATTTTCATCCCCACCAGCTCCATGACAAAGGTTGTGTCCCCCCCCCCCCCCCCCCCCCCCCCCCCCCCCC